ATATATATCTATATATATAGATATATATATATATATATATATATATATATTATATATATTTATATATACATATATTTATATGTATTTATATATATATAAACACATCCAGGGCGACACCTTTGTAACATGCGGTGATGACAATCGTGCCGAGTTACGCACACTGCCAGAGGGCGAGTTTGAGAGCATTCTCTTCCGCACAACATCTACCGTCTTGGCCGCCAATTTTTCCAAAAACGGCAAATTGATCGCAGTGGGAGCTTGGTATGTATATGGCTACAACTCGTCGTAAGCGTTTGGTACCGTTTTTGCTCTTGGTTGGACATGTAGTATGCGCATGGTACGTTTTCTTTGCCGAATGTCTTCTGCACGTAGTAGTCTGTTATCCACATATGTTTTGTGCACGTGTGTTGTGTGGGTTCTTATGCCCCTGTGTTGCGAAGTACAGGTACGTTTTCTTTGCCGAATGGTGCATACGAGTCTTCTGCACGTAGTAGTCTGTTATCCACATATGTTTTGTGCACGTGTGTTGTGTGGGTTCTTATGCCCGTGTGTTGCGAAGTACAGGTACGTTTTCTTTGCCGAATGGTGCATACGAGTCTTCTGCACGTAGTAGTCTGTTATCCACATATGTTTTGTGCACGTGTGTTGTGTAGGTTCTTATGCCCGTGTGTTGTGTACTTTTCTCCTTGATGTGCGCTCTCTGAATAGCCGGCTGCCCCACCGAGAATGTTTGGTTATCAAACGTAAGGCTGATGTTTGAGTTTTTTTTTGAAATCTAGACATTGGCAGTTTAGATTCGTTACTTGTTGTTGTCTTGTCTATATACAAATGCATGTCTTTGATTTTACGTAGGGACGCTGTATATATATATACTTAATATGTCATGGTAATGCATGTCTTTGATTGCACGTAGGGACGTTGTATACATATATACTTAATATGTAATTAATATGTCATGGCAATGTATGTCTTTGATTGCACGTAGGGACGATGTATACATATATACTTATTATGTAATTAATATGTCATGGCAATGCATGTCTTTGCTTGCACGTAGAGATTTTGTATACATATATACTGAATATGTCATGGCAATGCATGTCTTTGCTTGTACGTAGGGACGGGCACTTGGTCGCTCTAGAGACCTGTAATGTGCTGCTTCGGTATTTAATACATTCGTGCTAAAACATTTACCCGTAATAACACTGGCTTAACTATGTGATACGATATCAACCAACACTTGCCTTCCCGCGTTGCCAAACATGTCCGATATCTGGCTGCTTTGTCTTATATCTATTTCGTATGTCCGCAATCTCACTCGTTTGTCTGATATCTCACTCGCATGTCTGATATCCGACATACGTTATACGTCCATCTCCTGCTTAATTTGTCCGGTATCTGTTCCCACTGATTAGCGAGGGCGATGCCAAGCTAGTGGAGACTGAAGACGCCAAGAAGGTCATCACGCTAGAGTGTGACCAAACCGCTGTACGCGACATAGTGTTTGATCCCATGGGCGAGTACGTGGTAAGTACTCGTACACAGCAACTTAAACGTTGTACGTGTGCATACAAATAAACCTCTGTGTGATGAGTGCTATTATATATATATATAGTCCTAATACATGTATATATTGCTGCGGAGTAAGTGTTATGACAAATATGTATTTCTACGTGGTAAGTGGTATAGCATATATATTTTTGTGTGGTAAGCGGGAATACATGCACATATATTTCTGTAGGATGAGTGCTATTACCTATATCTATTCCTGCCTAATAAGTGTTATTTATAATATATACTTCTCCGTGATAAGATTTACTACAGCTGTATATTTCTGTGTGATACGGGCGTACTCCTATATCCTTCTGTGAGATAAATGCTACCACGTATATACTTCAGCGGATAAACCACGTATATACTTCTGCGGATAAACCACGTATATACTTCTGCGGATAAACCACGTATATACTTCAGCGGATAAACCACGTATATACTTCTGCGAATAAACCACATATATACTTCTGCGGATAAACCACGTATTTACTTCAGCGGATAAACCACGTATATACTTCTGCAGATAAAGCACGTAAATACTTGTGCAGATAAACCACGTATATACTTCTGCGGATAAACCACGTATATACTTCTGCGGATAAACCACGTATATACTTCAGCGGATAAACCACGTATAAACTTCTGCGGATAAACCACGTATGTGCTTCTGCGGATAACTGCTTTAGCCTGTAGTGGTCATACCCGCATAAACACTGCATATAAAGACTTCGTCTGTATCCCTCGTAGGCCACTGCCAGTGCGAGTGGAATGGCGCGCGTCTTCGAGATCAACGGCACACGAGTGTACGAAGAGTCGCTGATTGAGAAGACCGACGTTGCCACGTAAGTACCGGGCATAGCCATTGACAGTTGTAAGGTTTAGGGTTTAGTGTGGGCTATGTAGGTGTACACTTAGTGGTGGGCTGTGCAGTATAGTAGTTGTAGTCGTGTGTGTGTGAACGAATGCAGGTAGTACTACACTATATGGTGTAATGGTAGTGCTTGTACATAGTGGTTCCTTAGAGTATCTTGTTGTATGAAGTATGCAAGAGTAGGGCTCTAAGTATATACATACACATTTATAGATATATATATATATTGTATATCTATATATACACACATTTG